AATATGACCTGTAAATAAAGTAAATACACATTGACTAGCAACGTAAGCAAGGACTAAATAGTTATCGGGATCTAATTATTAGTGCTCCTTCACTTAACACTTCATCCTGTTTTAAACTATGCACTATCCTGTTATATCTTTTCTTCCGACCACTGCCTGCCTAATTTCATATTTTCGAGTTCCATTGCCAAACAACAGGGATGGCACTACTCCAAAAACATACGGTGAGTTTCAGCTATAAGTTTTCTGCAATCATGAGGTCATTTTAGATGGTTCGTTCAATGACAACCACACAATTATTTTGATTCATTCAACTGTTGTGATCCGAGCGAGTGACGAAAACGTCAACAGCATCAAGCACCCTGGAATTAATTGCCATACTGCATGTTTTATTCTGGATGCTTTTGGATCATGATTACTCACGAATGGCGTTATATATGTCGTCCACTGAATAATCTAATTTTCAGAAATAATCCAGGCAAGTTCAACTATTTTACTGGATGATTTTTTGTACTTAACATGTATATATTTTTCAGCTGCTTTTGCCACATAGTGTATGTAACTTCTTATGTAATGTTTATAATTTGTCATATTCCTGCCTGAAGTTTCATAAGCAGTCTTAACTTTAAAACCGTTATTCTGCTAATGTTCATTATTTTTAAATTGCCATATACGTCAACAACCTGCATGTTAACCTGACCCGTACATGGGTTGCACTATATCTTCATGTCTTCTAAATTTAGAAATCATCTGAATCGCCTTTAACATTTATCAATAAACCCATCATAGTCGTTGCTGCTAATCGTATTTTGGTTTATGGATTGGTTTATCATATTAGCAGCCTAAAATGCGGACATGGTTTAGATAATAAGATTACAAATTTAGGTACTATCAACTGCACTAGTAAAATAACTAAATCCTCAGGTAGCTGTTGGCTAAACAAACGTTTCAAATCAAAACTCCGAAGCCTACTAGAATTAACACTAGACCAATATTTTCGAATTGAAATTTACAATATAATAAGGTGGCTCTGATTCTTTAACGCTACAAATTTCTGATAATTTCGGATCACCTAAAGCAACAGTACCTATTTTTCCACTGACTAACTCTCAATCAACACTATAACTAGTTGTACATAATATTTTCAGGATATCATCATAAAGCAACGTCATGACTTGACAATCACGTAATACGATTGATAAAATTAGTGAAATTATGAACAAAATCGGTCAGCAAATGGAACTATAGTTATCACTAGTGTTGTTTTTCTTTTATCTTCATTCACTACAGATGATTACTGTATGTTTCTCTATCAGTTGCTCAGTCAGTAAATATCTCAAAACCTTGTCAGTCTAATTGGAGGTTTAGCGACACAATCATGCATGCAAATAATCAGTATAAGAAGTCGAGCAAATCTCCTGCAAACTGAAAACATCGATGTCGAATTTACCCCAACATTTACTAAGTTTCAAGCCACTATCATAGACATGAGTTGGGAGTGTACTCCACTTGGTTACAACCTATGTTCTCCCTGATAACCACTCACGGTTAATCATCTCGTAAAAACTTATTTAGCCGAATACATCTTGCAGCACCACACCACCTAGTGATGTGACACATAGGCTTGACTGATTTCAATAAATTATAATCACTATATCTCGATTAAATCGTATTCCGCCTTATGATAAACTGCATACTTGCAACTAATTTGTATTCTTCATCAGCCGTCAGGTATAAATATGTATAAATAGTCTATGGCAATGCAGAACATTGAGCCTAGAGCATGTCTCTTACAAATACACTCATGTTCAACGATTTGTTCTTAGCTATCTGTCCAAAATTCATATAATTATTACTCACGTATTTAAATTTTGTTCTGATAACCATTCATGTGTATCAGTAGTATTACTAAATTCTACGACGGTCAAGTAAAAATGAGGTTGAGAAAATCTTCTCGTAACTAAATAAACCGTATCAAACTAACTGGAACACTAGTTGGAATTCTTCTCCACGGTAATACTTTTGTTCCTTCAGTTAGCCTACTAATAAAGATGCAATTAGAAATCAACTCATATGGACAACTTACCGGCATAATCGCTATTCGATTTCATAATTTAAACCAGAACTAATACCAATATTAACATTTCTACAATATTCATCACTTTAATATTTCTAAACACAAAATACTTACTAACTGTACGTTAAGTTATTAACCAACGGCTATTAACACGCATGGTTTTATTATTATTATTATTATTATTGCAATCCTAATTCTTTAGCTCCCATAATCTTCACCCAAATTTTCATTTTAAGCGTGTTAAGCATTAAACCAGACATTTTAAAATTATTACATGTATTTCCCGACCAGATGCTGCCGCCTTCTTTTTGATTTATCTTTCAGCTTATAAATCCCCGGAAAATTCTACATATACTTGGTAACTTCCGGCGCGCAACAATCCCATCCAATTTGGTATTGAACCAACATCACGTTGATTCTGGTGGGAGAGTAGTGTAGTTGCATTGGACCATAACCGCACAATCCTCAAAGCTGAACACGAGACAACTCAAAAATAGATATTCAATATTTAACGCGGAGAAATACCTAACGATGGAGAAGGCGGGAGGAGGGTGTTGAATGAATTGGAGTTGATCGAATGACATGGCTCGGACATGCAGGCCTGGTCCCTGCGGAATATCACCTTATATCTTTTATTCATAATAAATATATTGTTCTTTCTCTAGCCTAAACTTGTTCTCCACTATGTTTTAGTAGTTGTTAAGATTCAGCGAGTTGGTGTAGACGATGATGTGACTTCCACGTACGATCTTATAAATTAGGCAGTTATATCATGACAAATCTACAATTTTAGGATTAGGTCTATTATTAGAGCAGTACTAATATTATAGTAAACCATAATTCTACAACCTTTTGTGTATTGCGACCACTTAGGAGCTAGGTCTCCGCTATCTAATTACCAAATTTGGAAAAGGAAAACTAAGAGACCCTGTAACGCAAACGATTTCACATATGAACGGTTCAAATGGTTGTGGGCAGAATAGAAGAAGCTTTCGCTCAACAGGCTTCCGTGTCTAGCAGCAGGGGATCACCAATACCTCCAGGCAGAAACCCAAGTATATAAACTATAATAGATTAGAAAAAACGAAATTGGTAACTCATATTAAGATGTTATCCGTAGTCCTTAAGAATAGGTCAAGTTTCCTCTTAAAGGAATCCTGGGAAGCCGTTTGGACTAGTTCAGTGGGCAGCGAATTCCAGCACTTGACAACTCTTAAGGAGTAGAATTTGTGTCTACAGCCCGTTCTGCTATGTTGTATCTCCAATTTACTGGTGTTACCTATTAGGTTTGTATCCGGACTTAGCTTAATTAGGCGCTTAAGGGGATGGTTAGAAGTGTTGAGGATACTGTGAGCCATCAGAAGATCACCCCTAAAACGCCTATACTCTAATGGGTAAGAGTCAAGTGATGGGAGGCGCTCGTCATAAGGTTTAAATTTAAGTCCCCGAACTGATTTCATGGCTTGTCGGTTGATATGCTCCATGTTTGTGACATGAGATAGTCTACCAGGTGATTTGAAGAACAACATAGTAGGTTCTGTTCACCAAACGAATGGGGAGCGAATATAAGAACTACCTTCCAATGAATTTAACTACCGTATTCGTAAAAATCATAGATAATATTATTTGCCAGGAGTTGTTTAAGTATCAAGGTGAGAACTTGTTTCCCTCTGAAATGTAGAATGTGTTTAGTACGAGGTGATCATGTATCACGAACTTACTAGTTACATGAGAAAGTTATTGCATTTTGAAACATCAGAAGCTATCTGCAGATTCAGGCTTGATTGACTTTAGTAAAGTTTTTCACGAAGTCTCATACAACACACAGTTATACAAGTTAAGAAGCATAGGGATTGGCAGGTGACGTACTTATATGGATGAATAATTATCAAGGACTTTTGGTCGACTTCAAGTCGTCTAATCGTAAGATCGTGCTCACTGAAGTACACAGGCCGTTGACCTAAGATTCACTATCAGTCATGCCTTGAAACATCTGCACACCGCTGCACAATGGCTTTCTAAACTTATAAAACTCTGCAGTCAACTAATAGGGCCTATGAAAAAGTAGATACAGGAATTCGGACTTCTTCTACTGTGTTCGTTGAACCGATAAATGAGTATTACATTTGAACATACAGACCCTACATAAAAAAGCCAGTGAAGTGTTGGAAGAGATTCAAACAATCATAAATAATTTGATTTTATGAATCGCAAATCTATCGAAACATCAAGGACTAGTTGAACTAAACCTATCTCCCGGCCATACAAAACTTGCGACGGTAACCAAATCCGTAAAATCAACAGCTTTGTAAATCCTCGACATTTTGTGATGACATCATTAGTTTTTTTGGACTCATCCAGCTGCAGGCTCTCAGTCGTGCGTCCGCAATAGACTACCAGTGAGTACGCTGTGGTTCACTACTCCTACAACAGCTAGCCAGCTTATATTAGGGGCTTCTCGATATATTGATATCCTATCAAATGTATCTTCGAGCCCCCGCATGTTTCGGTGTTGCCAGTGTTGTCAAACTCAGGATGCGTGTGGCATCTTTAGACTAGATATGACCTGGCAGGTCTCTAAATCGTTTATTGGTATTTTCGCACATGAAATGCCGTAATTTTGCATGTCCCTCAAGACATAAAATGTACTATTTCACTTCAAAAAGTCCTAAATCTCGAAAGCAAATCACTCATCACTGAATCGTCAGGCACTAGAACTCTGTTTCTTATTATGTGGTCGAAGCCTTATCTTTTGACGTTCTCAAAGAAAATTCCAATCAACTAGAGACCTCGATCTCAACAATTAACGTAGAGAATCCAGCCTCTTGTACGTCATTAGCAGTGATAGCAATTGTACATATAATCTCGATGTCCTAGCGTGTAGTACAAAAGATTCGTTGTAGCTCCAAGGCCACTCTGCTCAATGAGCCGATTGACATGGCCTTACTACACTTGTACTTTTTTTAGAAAACAGCCTAAATACGGCCTAAAGTTATGGTATCGATATTTTATACCTGATTCGTATGCTTCGGTTGATATTTGGAACGCTCGGCTCTCTAGTGATATTTTCCGAAATATTTCAGCTCGTAAGTCCCACAGCAAAATTCCTAAAACCCATAGGTGATCATGGTTTAAAATTACTGCAAAAAATTAATTCTGGAAAAGTCGTGTCACCACTGGACTATGACATAGTAAAGCTTTATTGTCTGTTAATTGTTGTAATAATAGTTCGCAAATAAACTAGATGAACTAGATGTCAAGTCCTTAGATTTTGTTGAAGAAGTCATCATGAGGTTTGAAGCCCGTTTCCTTACTTATATAAAGCTATATGAATACTCAGTCTGCGGTGGACGTAAGGGATTCAACATCTCATGCGTTTATTCGAGGCTATTTGAATTTCCGAGAAGTTGACAGATTGCTAAAATTAATCGAGTGTAGAGTATGAACGTTTTGAACTGCTTAATGTTTAGTCAAAAACAGGAATTTTGTAGATTTTGCCTCTGCAGTTCTCATGATGGACGTGTTTTTACGAAAAGGTGAATGGAATTCTGCTATTGCAGTTTCTTGGGAACTCTGCCTTCAGGAATATTTCAGCTTAGAGAATGTTAGACCCCTTGTCCTTGCTACTTCACTTTTTTCATGCATGAAGTCAATAGAACATGATTCGTACGTGGTCAAAGAATCTGAACCGGCGGATGACAAAGAGGTAAGATATCAAATTTGTAAATAAAAACTCCGTTTGAGAAAGCCTTATTAGGAATAGCTCTTTTTTAAATTAGATAAGAAAAAGTTGATGAGTAATAATGTTTGTTAGATTCTTTCATTTAGAGACACGAATTTCTAGTGTTTATTAGTGCTGAAATTACTAAGTGGAGTAGTGCAAATATAAGTGTATTGATTGTACTACTTTTCTAATCACCGACTGACACCGGTTTTTCTGGCATTCATTGTTCATTAGAAATAACAAACCAAATGCTATCTATGTAATCACTTGCTAGCCCAAATATTGAATGAAAATGTGTTTCTCATAAATGATAAAGCTTTTTCAAAGACTGCAGTTGTTAGTACAGAGACTATAAGTAATCGTTTTAGTGCATAGTTACTCTAACTAGATCAGTTCTCAAGGCGAATAAACTTGTTAAGGACATCGTCTATTATAAGTTCCTTAGTAGTGATGATTTCACCTGCTTCGGTTTGGGCGTCCCGGGCAGTATTCTAGCTTTCACATAAATCGAATAACGAAGTGTGGCTCATATATATTTGGTACCTTTTTGTATTAATGCTAATATGTTCAAATTAGTAAATGGCTATAAACTTTAAACGTGGATAGGAGTTTCGACTTGTTTCTTTTCACAAATACTGCTGGCGACAGAGTTAGAAGGCACCATCACTTGACAAACAATTTTCTAACTTGTTTTATATATTTGTTGGTGACTTGTGGTACTGTTCAGCGGCTGTAATTGGTTTTGGTTAAATTTTATCTACATCTATGCGTGCTTATCGGGTAGCTAGTAAGATCCTGTTTTTTTTCAAAAATCATGTACGTATATGTTAAGTGAAACTGAATAGATAGTTACCGTAATATAACCGTAATAGCCACTATAATTTGGCTAACTGCAAATAAAGTAACTCGATAATATTACTAATCCTCACGTAAAAATTGGTTTAAAACCAAATACATGATACCATAATTTATAAGTGCGCTACATTATCAATATTGTTTAGTCAACAACCGCTTGGTTGAAGCCTTTTGTTTTTATTCGATACTCCCACCTTTACTAGTTCACACAAATTCATCTCAGGGTTCAGAAAGACAAGTGGTGAAAGTTTGATTTTACTTATTTATTTATTTGAAGACATAAATATTGGTACAAGAGGGCACCAAATATATATTCGCCACACAAAACAATGAGAATTCGAAGAGAAAAAAACAATAATAACGAACAGATTAGTGTAAGGTAGTGTAATAATAATAATAGTAATAATGGAGGAAACAGAAAGGTACAATCGGAAGAAATCTTTCAGTTGGGGAAGAAAAAACCATTTTTATGAAGAAAGTATGAGAAGATTACAGCAGGATCGCCACTGGATTCTATTCAGAGCCATATCTGATAACGTCTCTAGCCACTGTGTAGCACCATCTCTCAGACCCCAACCAGGGAGTCGTGAAGGACCAACAGAAGCCAGCCCTTTGCAGCTTTCTTTCATACCACGACACCATGTCATACGCTGACCACTTCTCCGCTTCTTCCAACCAGTCCTAGAGTCGGCAAATAATGCGCGACGTGGAATTTTCTGGGACGACATTCGTAGAACATGTCCAAGCCACCAAAGCCGGTGTTTCAAGATGGTGACACCAATTGAATTATCATCTCTGTGCCCGAACACACGATGCCAAACCTCTGCATTACTGACATGGTGTTGCCACTGAATGTCAGCAATCCTTCGGAGACAACGATGATCGAACACAGAAAGTCGTCTAACATTCTCAACTCGGAGAGGCCAGGTTTCACAAGCATAGAGCAAAACTGTTCTCAAAGACGCGTTGTAGATCCGACCTTTTACAGCCAGACTAACATCACGAAGGCGCCAAAGGTGGCCCAAATTGGCATAAGCCGCTCTGGCCTTCACTATACGTGCATTGATTTCATCACTCACGCCACCACCAGTATTTATGCAGCTACCCAGATACACGAACTTATCGACTACTTCTATCTGGTCACTATCCAGAGTGAGTACAGGATTAGAATCCTGCCAGTCTTGTAGAAGTACTTCGCAGTTAGAAGGTGCAAAGCACATACCATACCTACGGACACTGATTGTCAACTGATTAAGTGCGGATTGCATGGCTTGGGCATTCAGTCAGTCAGCTACAACGTAGGACCAGGCACAATTTGTGCATCGGTCCAAGTTGCCATACCTCATTAACACAAGATGGACACCGGATTCATAAAAGTAGTTAATTCAGAGGTGGTAATATATAAAAGAAAGATTGCAATAAGGATATAGTACAGGAAGAAAGAATTAGTTCGTAGAAAGAAAGATATGAAGTCATTTTAATCTCTTAGTTTGAGGGAAGACAGGAGTGTATACACCGACGCCATTGTGATCGATTCTGAGCCATGTCACCAAGAGTCTCTAACCATTGGTTACGATAGTCACGCGGACCTCAACCAAGTAGTCTGCATCTACCGACATGGCTCAGACTAGAAGTTAGTGACTTCAAGCACTGATGCCACGTTTTGGTTTGGCCGCCCCTAACTTTCTTCCAACCATCTCCAACACCGGTCAGCATTGCACGTCGTGGTAATCGGTGTTCGGGCATACGTAACACGTGGCCCAACCATCTCAGTCGATGAAGATTCACAACCTCATCAACTGATTTACCATCATTCCCTAATACCCTGCGTCTAACCTCACTATTACTTACCCGGTGATCCCAGCAGATGCCAGCAATATTTCTAAGGCATCTGTGGTCAAATACTAGTAGCTTACGAGTGTCTTCTACTCTTAATGGCCATGTTTCGCTGCCGTAAAGTAAAGCAGAACGGACTGCCGCGCAGTATACTCGTCCTTTTATTGATAGACGGATATCTCGCCTTCGCCAAAGGTGACGTAAGTTGGCAAAAGCCAAACGAGCTTTTCGAATCCGTGCTGAGATTTCGTCAGACACCAACCCATTAGGGCGCGTTCGACTACTTCACTCCCTATCCTTAGTTCAGGTGTTGACGCAGACCAGTCCTGAAGCAACAACTTGCATTTAGAGGGAGAGAAGCGCATCCCAAACATTCTGGCATTGTTGCTTAGTGCTACCAAAAGACTGCATTTTATCAGCGTCTTCACCAAACAGGACTATGTCATCTGCGTATTCTAAGTCGATAAGTGGACCTCCTGGAAGGAGATCAATACCCGAGAATTCAGTCGACGAGAATGTTATTTCCATCAATAGGTCTATGATGAAGTTAAACAAAAATGGAGAAAGTGGACAGCCTTGACGGACACCACTTGAGGTTGCAAAAGTAGATGACAGTTCGCCATAAGCCCTGACTCGACTAGTAGTGTTCGAGTAAAGAGCCTTCACAAGGTTTATGTACTTCTGAGGTACGCCTTTCAATGACAGACACTGCCACAGAATCTCGCGGTCTACAGAGTCAAATGCTGCTTTTAAGTCAAGAAAGACCACCATTGTCGGACGCCGATAAGTATGCCTATGTTCTAGAACCTGACGAATGGTGAATATGTGGTCGATGCAGCCACGACCAGGTCTGAAGCCAGCTTGGTTCTCTCGTGTTTGCAGTTCACGAGTCTTAGTTAGGCGTCTGATAATTATCGAGGCTAGTATTTTAGATACTATATTAGTTAAACTAATCCCTCTATGGTTGTCACAGGATGATTTTGACCCTCTTTATATATTGGGACGATAAGTGATTGTGACCAGTCAGATGGAATAACGTCTAATTCCCAGATCTTAGCTAAAATATTAGTCAACCTAATCGCTAAAATTGGACCACCATCCTTAAAGACCTCTGGAGCCAGTCCATCTGGACCAGCTGCCCTTCCTCGTTTCAGATTAACTATAGCCTTTTGAACTTCTGCTAGAGTTGGGGGACCTACTTCAATGTTCCATTCACACTGTCTGGGAATGGAGGGTAGTTGTAGAGTAGCTGAAGGCCAGCTGAAATGTTCCGCCCATCGTTCTAAACGTCTGGACTGAGAGCAGATGAGGGTGTCGTCTTTTTAGCTTGGGCATTATCGCAAAGTAAGACAATATCATCCGCATACTTAAGGTCGAGAAGTCTTTCTCCAGGCAACAGATCCGCACCACCATTACTTACATTCATCAGAGCTGTTTCCAGAATGTCATCGATGGCAAAGTTGAGAAGGAATGATGAGTTTGGGCAATCCTGCTTAACCCCACTGCTCGAATGGAACAATGGAGAAAGGTGGTTGTATGCCCTCACTCTGCCTGAGGTGTTTGTATATAGGGCCTTAAGGATGGTAATTAACTTCTCAGGCACACCCTTCTTCAATAGACAATCTCAGAGAACAGTCTTGTTCAACGAATCGAAGGTAGCCCTGATGTCAAGAAACACTACAATTGTTGGCCTTTGATAAGTATGGCGGTGGTCTAACATTTCGCGAAGGGTGAAGATATGATCAATACATCCTCGACTAGAACGAAACTCAGCCTGCTCCTCGCGAGTCAATCTTTCTCGGGTTTTGAACAACCTACGAAATATGACGGAAGCCAATAGTTTGGACGCAATCGGAATTAGACTTATCCCCCGATATTTGTTACAGGAACGACGGGAACCCTTTTTAAAGATAGGGACAATTATCGACTCATTCCATGACGTTGGTACACTCTCTGGCTCCCAGGCCTTCGTAAACAACGTCATCAGTTCCTTAGTCAGAAAGTCACTACCATCTTAAAAAAAACGGAGGTAAGTCATCTGGGCCTGGTGATTTGTGGCGCTTCAAGAGTTGGAGTTCTTTGCGGACTTCCGCCTCATTTGGTGGATCAGTCGTCACCGGCCATGGAGGGCAGGACGGTCTGACCGATGTTGCCGGATCAGCAAGCCAGTTGAACTGCCTTTCGAAGAATTCTGCCCATCATCCAAGACGTCGATGGATGTTAGTGATTGGCATCCCGTCATCCTCACAGATTGTTTCGCTCACACCAGACTTCTTGCTGCCAGTGGCTCGGACGAGTTGGAAGAGCTTCCGGTAGTTACCAGATGCAGCTGCTGCCTCCAGCCCATTAGCACTCTCCGACCAACAGGCTTCTCGGACCTTACTCAAACTTTGCCCGATTTCATTACGTAACATCCTTCGTTTGTGGTCAAACTCATGGTCACCCGGAGTAGACCGACGGGCTTCGATGACTTGTAAGGTGCCTGAAGAAACCCAGTGCTTATAAGCGGGATGCAAGCGGCTCTAATCGCCATTTTCATGGCGTCATGCAGTTGCAACCAATGCTCACCTATGCTTTTCGGTGGAATGGTAGCTAGCCTAGAAGCTAGCTCGGTTCGATACTTACTTGCAACGGAAGTTGCAACCAACTCGCTGACATCAGTAGGTGAAAGTTAGCTGCATTCTCTCACGTCACAGGAGGATTACTGAAATCTGATAACTCAGTTCAGTTAAATTTACCTCTGAATTATATTTCCATAAATTTCGTCTCTTTCAACCCTGATGACATTCTTATGTAATTGTTCCTGTTTTTCAGATTGAGCAAAAATTGGTTCCTTATGTTAGAAACCCAAGCTATGATAACTTTTTCGATATAAAGCACCCAAAGTTGAAGACTGGTTATACGCTCTTGCATTTGTCTCATGTACTAGACAGTCGATGCTCACTTTTTCAAACTACCCCAGTATGGAATAGCCTATCTAAATATGTGGATAGTTTTCGTTTAATGATGAGAATTTTTGGACTTGCTCTTTCTGAACAGTGCGACAAATTATTAGTTGAACTGAGAAAAATTGATGATTCAGCAATACAGTTAGGAGGATTCGATACTATTGTGGTAAGTATAGTCATTTTCCACTATTTAAATATATCAACATAACAATTTGTAGACGGAAAAGTTAATAAGGATTGTTGATACTTGTGAAACCCGATCCGATGACTCGTCTCTAAAGCCAGGAGAACCGCAGCTTCCAAGCGTATCAGATGTAAAATCAGTGCAGAATGAACTTGTGGTAAGCAAATTAACATCTATATATAGTTATATTTCAGCGTATTCAGGGTGGATCACAATGTACCACACCAAACTTTTTTAAATTGGCCGAAGAGTTTATCTTCAATGGAGTAATTAATAACTCAGACTGTATAAAGCAGGAATTAGAGGCAGTTTCTGACTTGTATAGTAAATTTGATGAAGAACGCAGAAAAGAATACACTGAAGCTGTCAAAATGCAAAAATCTGAAAAAGTTGTTAAAAAACCAAAGAAAAGCTAAGAGAAATTCTAGATAAAGAGGAACAAATAACATACTTCCAGAATAATACGAAAATAATAAAGGATGCATGGTTAGCACCCCGAACACGTCAAGAAGCTCGTTGGTCAAGACTAAAGGAGTGGAGAAGTGAAATTCTTTCTCAAAGACAAAAGCAGGATAATAGTTCGCCTGTTCAATGAGTGTGAAACTGTACATATATACTTTTAATAGTAATACGTTTATATACGAAATTCATTGATGTACATCATATTGGTTACCCAATATTATTATCTCCATAATGTAGATGTACAGATGCACCCGTTTTTTAATGGAAACTGGTTGATAGGTATTTAAAATTAGAAGTAATTATCAGAATAAACTACAAAGTTCCAATCATAGTTTATGGTGTGACATTTTAATATTCCCTAAACAGAGCTGAAGCTTGAAGGGAAATGCAATTAGAAAGCTTTCTTTACATAAATATCATCTATACTATGTAACTTTGAACTAAGCCTAATTATTTTTTACTAGTGGGAGGAATCACTTCGCTCTGATAATTACAATACGTGCACACAAACCCAGTTAGTTATGCTCTAGGTTACATCGGCCTCATAAAGTGAGCTCTTAGGAAACGTATTACTTTGTCAGTATATCAAAAGAAGTATCTAGGCCAATCAATAACTCAATTCCAGAACACTAAATTCTGACCACATTGCGCAGTTAAAACGCGTTTATAAGTCATCCATGTAACCAAACAAATATCATCAAACGAAGTATAACGAATCATAGATGTGACTTATCCTTCAATGAGAGGTGGAAGTAACAAGACTTCGTAGTGCTACAAAATATTACCACTAATATATTGAATGACTCAACATAATAAATCGAGAATGAACAACAAAAGCGCGATTTATTAGCAAAGTGTAGATGTGAATATTACTTATATTTGTAAACTTATGTAGCATATTCAGATGTCTAAATGTGCGTTTTCAGATTGTGTATTGTTCTATATAAATTTTGTAGTATCGATCTGTTTTCATAATTGTCTACGTCCAGTTTATTTTGTACTGCTACTTCCTTCTTACTTGCCATTGCTCTATCCCTACAATGAACAGTCCGATTCCCAGTTCATTTTTGAGAGCTTCAATGGATTTCTGTGTTTGGATGAGTAACTCCACTGAATGTTCATAATGATTTATGTTGACTCATAGATTTAAAGTAGGGCTCGGTGTGTTCGATTTGTTGACAGTGAGCATGAACGGATTCGTATTTTCGTCTTTCTACTGCTGACCGAACGAATAATGGTATTGGAGTTCATAGCATGAATTGTGTAGATCTGAACATAAAAGCGGTAAGGTCTTGAATGCTTCATCAACCTACCAATGGTGATACTGTCCTAATTATTTCGGATTAGAATTTGTTTTTTACTCAGCCTAACATCATATAGAAAGGAATTCTCTCTCAGTCGTCTTGTATTTGGACATCAGATTTAGACTCAATGAAATTTGATGTGATAAAGGCACCTAATAGTCATATACGCATTGAATTATGTATCATTAGAAATACTGCTGGAGACAGCTAACGTTGCATACGAAGAACCAGAAAATACAATAGCTACGATTTAGCCTGTCACTTATGTTTATTAATTAGCTCATTATTTAATTCAGTTGACTAATTTTTTCATTCTCATCTTATTTTTGTCTGGAGCACGACTGTGTTCCGTTGTCTCTTTTGTAATTAATTCGTACTTCGTGCGATACGACGTAGACTGCTGTGTGATTTTCCGTTTATCCCCAAATCTTCTTATTACTAATCACGTTTTTATGAAGGTGTAGCCATTCATTAGCATAACTCAGCACCCTTGTTACATTTCATAGATTTTCATTCCATTCTGATGACGCATAAAAAAGTAACCTGGAATATAGTTTATTGCCTTTATGTAAAGTTATATAATTTTGACTTTTAATGGAATAATATACCTAAAATAAATGAATGCAGATTTACTTTATATATAATTGCGCTTGCTTCAATTAATTGATCGTGGTTTAGCCTAATATCTGAATTTTATGTCACTTGCAAATTTACCTACTACTGAATTGGATGATTTTAAAATGAACTGCTAGTTATTTTTCATTCGATCGTCTTTATTAATGCTCACTCTTGTTTTATTATATTTAGGAAGTCAGTATATTAGTAGCATTATCGAGACGAGTATAATGTTTGTGGTTATTCACAGAAGTCTGCATCTTTCCGTTGCTGGTATTCATGATTAGATTTTACCATACTCATTAAAGGAGTCTATGGCTATCTGAATTGAGCAGCTTAGTGCATAGCGAGTCGAAGCTTAAAGTGATATACAATGTTCGAGTCTTAATATAGACAACCTTGTGATAAATGTTTGTTTATGTAATGAGTCCTAAATAGTACGAAAGTACATTACGTGTCCCGCTACTAGCAACTATTTAAAATTGTGATAAATAATTTTATTCGCTAAGTTTCACAATAAGCCGTGATTATTGCTCGTATAAACTTCTTTGAAATTCGATAATGTAAACAGTCTTAGTGCGAGTATTAAATATATTCTAAATGTATAAATCGTGTTCAACGGTTATTAAGATTAGTCTGGTTTGCTTCAAACTGACTGAACTATTAATCTTGTCAAAATTATCTGAAGCAACACACAACTGTTCATGTCTCTGAATAAGAATATGAGAAATAAAACGCTACCTCTAATTGGGATATATTCAGTTTATGTTACCATATCAAGGTAGATATAAATTCAAATGTAACTACATGAATTTGTTTCATGTTATAGATGTTTACTACCTGCGGAATTACCAACGTGTGGAGGAAGTGCTATAACAGTTATTTTACAACGTATAATGTAATCTAAAACTCACATATTTTTTAACTGTACTTGGAATCCCTCCGTTATGCTTAAAATATCTTAGTTATCCCAAAGACAGTAAGATGGTTTTGATGTCTGCTTTCTATAAAGAAAATCAATATAAATAATACCATACGTTGTAGATCTGATAAAGAAGTGGTGAATTGACCGCAGCTGGAAATACGACTTATTAACTCTTGACTGAGTGGCATTATACGCACCATAAGATGTGAGTGTTCTACTATAGAACCACTAATAACCTCCATGAGTAACATCACTCTATAATTAGAAGTTACTTTGAAGTCATTCAAAATACTTGAAAGATCATATCAGTAAATTACTTATTCTTGTTAAATACTATCCTACTTTGGCTGTGCTTTACTGTTCTAGATAATTCTATATTGCGAAATATATCGCTGAATATAGTGTTTGTGCTAATCAGTTTTAATGAAATCAAGATGATCAGTTTTCTTTTCGAAATTCTCACCATAATCTACAATATACTGCACGAATTTACAAGCTTTCATCTGGCTTCTTTGAGAGGAGATGGATGAGTTAGAATCAAAAATTTTATTACAACTTGTCTGATAGTTTGTGAAATTTTATATTTCGAACGTCAGGAAACTTCAACAGGGGTCTCCGCCGTTGTAGATTCTGTTGTTTGAGAAGCGGTTGCGAATTAATTGTTATTAGTTCCTCTGGAAGTCAAGTTTTTTCCAGCAAGGTTACTCGGTGTAAATCTAAAGTTTATTGTTAATAAATCAATTCATAGTTGAGATGGTTAGCATGCTTGTGCACGATATAGTTTGTAGGGGTTATTTCATCTATATATCTGACTCCATTAAATAATATCTTGTTAACTGGATATTTACGCACTCCGAATCTCCTAGTAGTCTTATAAATTTACTAGAGATTATTTAAAAGCTAGAACACCAGTTGTGGGAATTGTGTATTGCTAATAATTGATGAAATTCGCAAGCACACAGGGAAGCGAGTGTGTGAGTGCAAATCGATTGTGGATAGATTATTGATTGTTTGTGCTTACAACCAATAGGACGATAGATAGATTGACATACAGACATGCATTCAATTATACTCACACATAGTTTTACATAGTGGGTCAAGTGTTTAAATTACAGCAAGTAGACAAATGATAAGTATTAGTGAGTTTACTATGTAAGCTCCCATCCAGGACATTGGTGTTTTCTAACAACATCTATGTTCGACAAAAATATAGAAATTTCGAAATAAATGTGCAACTTGATGTGATAAGCAAGTGTTAGGTTGAAATAATAGCTTGTATGTGTTGAAGCATATATATACATAACATCAATGGATCACATGAAGTTAAAAAGTGGGTATAATGAAAATCCGTGTAGCCAATAAAGAATGCTTACACCTGTTGCCCCTGGATTGGGCATAGGTCGCCCACTAGGATTCTTCACCCAACTCTCTCCTGGGCAATCCTTCTCAGTTACTATTCATCCTTTTGGTATCTCCTTTCAATTCCTAATGTAGTGTGTTCTTTGAACATCCTTTTTTTCGTTTCCCTTCAGGATTTCAAGTTAGGGGTTGCCTCATGGTGCAGTTTGATGGTTTCCGTAATGTATATCTCAACAACTACTTCCATCGTCTTTTTCTAATTTCCTCCTCAGATGGGCGGCCACTGAGTTCTTCATGTGGTCCAGCAACACCCTGTAGAAATCTTTCCCTGGTATTGACTGTAGTGTGAATCCTCTGTATTTTCCACATTTACTCAAATCTCCTTTCTTTAATTTCTTGATGAATTATTTTTCTTTCCAGTCTATTAGGACTTGTTCGTTTTCCTAAATCTTCTTCAGTAGAGCGTGAAGCATGTTTGCATTTGCATCTATATCTGACTCTTGTTCTTCAGCTAATATGTTGTCGGGTTCTGCCGCTTTCCCGCACTTCAATTTGTCTGGTGATCATCCTGGTTCCTTTCATCGTTATTGGAGTGACATCTAATGGAAGGTCTGTTGGTGCTGCTCCCATGTGCGCTGGATTCAATGGAGTTGGCCTATTCAAGAGTTCCTCGAAGTGTTCCCCTCATGTGTTATTCTGCACCTGAATCTCATCGGTTGTCATTGAGTGGTCTCTCTGGTTTACTATATTTCCCTGTCAGTTTCTTCGTTACATCATAAAGCTGTTTCATCTCCTGAAGCTTTCTCCTGTCGCTACTATCTGTTCCTCGAGTTCCTGCTTGTCCGCTTTAGTGCTCCGCTTCACTTGCTTGTGTGCTTCAATGTACTCGGCTTGTGCCTTGACTTTCTCTGCTGTTGCTCGGCTGTTGTTAATTGCTGTCTTCTTGTACTGACTTTCTTGAATCTTGTCCAGGGTTCCCATAGAGACCCATTCGTTTAGATGATGCTTGTAGAGTCCCAGCACTACCTGACACGTTGAAATTAGTGCTTCTTTGATCCCTATCCAATTTCCATCCATAGTAATTTCTTCTTATTTTACTAGACCATGTAGGGCTTGGAACCTGCTGTTGAAGGCTACCTTGAATTGGTTTTTTGTCAGTATTTCGAAGGAAGTCTTCACTGAACCTTTATAATGCTGTTCCGCCAGTGTTTCTAGTGTTTCTTTAGCTTCAGTTTCATCTTGTTTTCAACCAGGTGGTGATCTGAAGTTATGTCAGCTCCTCTCCTAGTTCTCATGTCTCTCATTGTCCTCCTGAATTCTATAGTGATACAGATATGATCGGTCTGGTTCTCTGTAGTGTAATCTAGTAAGACAAATGTAGCTTTGTGTGGTAACATTTTGCAACTTATAACCAATTTGTTGAATGCACATGGAATCGCGAATCTCCGATCACTCTTGTTTCTTGCTCCCAGTCCATATCATCCTATGACATCTCCATACTTGGTGTTATAAATTCCGACCGTGCCATCTAGGTGACCTATCAGGATGGTCAGGTCCTTTCAAGGGGACGTCTCTAGGATTAACTGCAGTATCTCGTAAGACAGATCTTTATTGTCGTCGTTGCTATCACTGGTGGGTGCATAATATTGGATAAGTTTAATTGTGATTCTCACCTTCTTTGTTTTGAAAGATGTTTTGATGATCCTGGGTCCATGTGATTCCCATCCTATGAGTGTATGACCTGCTTCTCTGAACAGCATCGGAGCAAATCTCTGAGTATGCGGAGTGTTATCATCTTTGTGACCGGAGCACGGCACCATCTCTTTTGATGGTATTCTGTTCTATCTAGCTTGAACCTAATGGGTTTCTCTGATTCCGAGCACCATCAAGTCGTATCTCCTCTTTTGAGTTGTAATTTGAATAGTTCTTCCGGTCTCCTACAATACCTATAAAATTATTGCTGTTGTTGTCAGAAGGGTATCGCTCTCGGCTTTATTCATGAAGCGTTGTAATTCTACCTTCAGACAATTCAAATGGTTTAAATTGTTTATTCTGGTAGTTAAAATAAAGATAATAGTACAGAGAAGGAGCTTTTGTGTTCTAAGAAAAATCTCAGAATCCGGTCTAGGTAAATATGATGACTGCTACATGCCCATCTACTCATTAACTCTTCTTCCTAATCTTTTTGTAGTTTCTGTGAGTGATGAACATCGGTGTGAAGTGGTGTTTGTTGCAGATGGTTTTTTGATGCTTGCTCTGCCGCCGATTTAGATGATTATGCTGTTTTCCGTTTTTCAGTGAACTCTAGATTCGCTGGATCACTATATCAGTGCTAACAGTGTTGTGTTTACTGGCTCTTTCTACTGTGACTTTTTATAATATTTTCTGACGATATTAAAGGAACAGCCGTAGGGAGTCTGCAAGGGCTCTATCATTTCTGTGGTACGAATGATCTCATTTTATAGGTTCGGGTTACAAAGACCTGACGGATTCCATCTTCTGCTCTAATTGTTTCACGTAGTTTTTTATGTTTGCTGGATAATCTGTTTCACTGTCAAGGAGTTCACCAAGCAAACGTAACGTCCCTTCATAAAACAGCCCAGCTGCACAACAACCGATGTTTCGTTTGATAGTTGGGCGAATGTGTAATAGTACCAGAGAAAGCTTGATATCCCATTTGAAACCACATCCAGTGCCTGTCAGTGGGACATTTAGCTGTCTGTGGAAACTTTCTGTCATCCCGTTAGCAGCTGGATTATTAGCTTTGGTTCAAATGCTCTTTATGCCAAAAATGTGTGTGAGTTGCTAAAACACTTTACTTTCAAACAAGGCTCCACGGTCGGTCGAATTGTTGTTGGGAAATCGAAGTTCGCAAGCCAGCGTTTCAGTGATTTGGTTGCCAATGTTGATGCTGACGTATCTTCCAGCGTCACAGTTTTGGGCCATCTCGTGAATCCGTCTATAAATGTTAGTCAGCGCATACAACCACAGGGTATTAGTGATGGTCGAACGATGTCAAGATGAATATGGTCGATCCTGGAGCTAGTGAAGGGAAAAGTTCTGACAAGAGCCATGATTTGTCAGTGGACTTTTGAGTTCTGACATTGGATGAATTATTGTGCCCCATTTTCGTAACTCTTTGTGTCTGACCATACAAACTTATTTGTGATGAGCCATACCGTTTATTTATACCTAATTGAGATATGTTGTGCGACTGTTGGAAAACGTTTGGTCTCATGTATCAAGGTATCACGAAGCGAGTCTTACCTGAGATATTACATTTCAAGGTGTCCTTGTCGTTTACAGGAATGTTTTGGAATAAGAGTTTCTTTTTTTCAGATTGCAAAATTTTTCCTTGTTCCATGAGTGCTTTTGAAGTTTTATCATATCCTGATAGTTTATGCCAGAAATTGAAAAGGTATCAATATTTAATCTCAGTAATGCATCTGCTACATAGTTTCCCTTGCACTGAAGAATGTTGGAGATTATGAACCAGACATTGTAGAAAAATGATTCGTTTTCTAACTGAGGCCCAACTGCAGTACATAGTTATTCGCTATATATCTAATTCTAATAAATAATATTTTGTTGACTGAGTATTTACGCACACCAAATATCCTAGTAGTTTTATAAATGCACAATAAATGATTCAGAAGCCAGAACATCAGTTGTGGGAATCGTGTATCGCTAATAATTGATAAAATTTGCAAGCACACAAGAAAACGAATGTGTGTGACTGCTTTCAATCAGACTTACTCATAATATTACATAGTGGTTGAAATTTTTAAATTTCAGCAAGCAGACAGATAATAAGTATTCAGTGAATTGACCGTGTAAACCGTCTGACGTGACAATTAAAGTTTTTCGGAATTAACTCCACTTGCTTTTCTACTAACAAGCCTAAAATAATTTCTCATACACTAGACATATTCTTCCAAGGTCAGTAAATTAACTTCGACACACTTTGACTCTGGAAACACCACAGGATCATAGACTTTATAGTGTTTCGAAGTCCCAGATTCTTCTTAAAAGCCGCATTCTTTATTTTACCTCATAGTCCATGTTGTATGGTATCTTATATGATCAATACCTATGCACGACTCTACGTACCATTTACTCATCAACTACTTGTGTTCGTTCAGTGGAACATATCCATGTGGAACAATCTGGGGGCCTTCTCAAGTTATACAGAAATGGTGCGACTAACCAGTCAACGTCGAGGTCACACATTACACTTGATATATAACGTGGACCACCCTTCGTCACATCCAAGTTCTATGGCTACATTCATGACCGTCCAGCACAAAGGATGTTGATAAAGAAATATATTAGTAAAAGTAGGTACAAAAACAGAGTGCGACCACTCACACACAAGCCAATTCGTAGCGTACAATCAGCTGCCGAACGTTGGTTGGCCTTGGCCTTGAAGATGATCGATGAACCTTCCAACATTCTGTGACCTGACTGCTAGATATTTGGTTAGGGCCATACAGATATCTAATCAGTTAGTTTAGTGACTTTTTTGAATGTACTAATACACAATATCTACACCTCTAAAATTGTAAGACATTTCAAAACAGATACATAACTATTTGTTTTGCCATGAAAAACCATTGTTAGCCCCTAAAATATGTACTGAAGTACAGTCCAAATCAATGATAAACAATCTCTTCTTGACTATGTATTTCGAATACCTGTACAGAACGACACAAAAATTATAGAACTGTTCCATGCTACAAATAAAAATAACCAAAGATATAACTCAGTTTACACTAGGTTGTGACTAACGTATTGATTATTGAATTGTATGTTTGACTGTTTCACTAAATTAGTCTTATGCATATTGTATACTTTTCTGAATTAGGCACATAAAAACGCGCACTCGTAGTTCGGAGATTTTGAAAATCATTATTTTCAACAAATAAAATTTCGATTAAAACATATAAATCAGTCTCCTAATTCATGATGAACACAAATAAAGTTTGTGCTTCTTGCTGCGAAGTCGTTTATCCTCTGGAATTGATAAGATGTTTTGATCAGGTTAGTGAAACGTCTTCAGGTTGTCCTAAAAAGTTATTTTGGTTGGTTTTGGTGGATTTTTTCACTTCCATTATTGTTTTTTTGCCATTTTTTTCAAAACACATATGTGGGTATAAATAAACCGAGAGAACTTATGTAATACATATGTCTGGATCGTAAATATGAATCTCTCCTGAGTAAAATCATTTAAATTTAATGTTTTATTTTTAATCAGCAGGCAACGTAATCAGATTTTAGCTCTCAAAGTCCTTAAGAACCTTTACTATCTGATGTGACGGAGTGAAACATTCTGTATTCCTTACACTAGAAATTTAGCTAGTTTTAATCCCAACGTCTTTCATTAATTCCTATTGATGTTACACAAAGCCGTAGGAACAATAAACCAAGAGGGTAGATAATCTATTTAAAAGGTTATGATAAACGTGTTTTGCGTTTTCAATGGATCTAAAATATCAGATTTACCTAAAACTTTCTTATACGGACATTTTGAATTCAAACCTTAGTATCAATCATCAAGTAAATAAACACAGTCAATTGTTTTTTTCGTAAACCTTAAAATGTATGCGACTCAACAAAACATACGTTTTTGTAGAACCCTAGATTTACCGTATTTTTCTGTAAAGAAGCTGACTTGTGAATATTTGGTACTTCGAAAAACATGATTTCAATGGTTTAAATTATACAAGACTTAAAAACAGGCTTTGAAACCCTTATACGATCAGAGGAACCCTTGTTTGTGTCACATTAATCGCGATAAAATCCTTTTCACAAACCGAAATCAAGGTGGACTCAAATTTTTTGAGTGTCCTAGAAAAAATGAGACAGTAGTAAATGGTGGCTATGGACAAATAAAGACTTATCAACCTGATGATCTCATATGACTGTTGCAACTACCTCTGCTCATTAACCGGGATAAAACTTATACTCGACTTTGTATCTCGTCGATAATTAATCCCTAGATTTCATTTGCTTGGCGTTTTCAAGTATAATAATTTTTATTGGCACTCTCAATGGTGAAGCCGTGTACGTGTGCAAGCATAGTTCTTCCAACTTTAGTCGTTCAAAGAGACGTCTTTTGATGTAATTTTCTCAAAACATAAGCATATCTGCAGAAAACTTTATTTATGTATTAGATAGTCATCTGGAGTGAGTGGTTGTATAAGATTGGATAATAAACAATCTTACAGTGATTAAGACTATGTTTGCACCAAGCTATTTCATAATATGTTACGATCAACTCTCTGAACGGAATTAGACAGTAGAAATCAAGATATAGTAAGAAAATGTTTTTGAACCCTTCTGAAATAATCCACTCCTATAACGTATGCAATATACAAGTAGTGAGTATTCTAACGATGGATTTTTTATCGTACGTAACGAATTTGTGAATTTAAAGAATCCGTAAAAACGTTTCAGTCAATAGACTGACCAGTAAGTATTTTAAACCTAGTTACATTCATTGAAATTTTTGAGAATATATAGACTTATATTTTTAATAATCATTGGTTTCATAATTTAGTCAGTGTCGTAGGCATAGGATTCCTGTTTTATTTATATTATACAAAACATAGGGGGAGCTAAACAGAATGGGACGTTTTTGAGACAGTTGGCTTTTAGCTTGTGCAAATAAACTTGGTAAGATGTTCACTGCCTAGGCAAAGCAAACATTCCCATTACAAACTAAAGAGATCAAAAGATTTCCTCATTGGTTACACGGTTGTCCATGACTATTTCAGCTAATAATTTGTCAGTTGATTCACTACAACTCTACTGTGCTCACGTAATGCACATTTTATGTGTCGGGGATTATTTTCGTGCATTTTTGTTAAATGTTACGTGACTAATATACGTCATAATATAGGCTCTGGAAAAAGTTTGGTCCGATCAAATAAAATCAAGGATTTGGTTAAAAAGCTGCACGAACAGACAAGACTGCGCATAGTTGTAAAACGTTATTCGAATCACATACGCCTATTGTTTTTTATCTTATAAATGGATGCAAAGTACATTTATAAGTTAAGGTTTTTACATATTCAACAGTAAATCATGAACCTACATTCAAATACTACGGTAAAATGGGTTCATCGCTTCACCATAATCAGTTCTAAAGTCAGAATAAGTCCGTTTGGACAATTTCGCGACATAATAAACTCTGAACGCTACTCAAAATATAATTTTGATGACATTTAAAATAAAAAATTGAACTATTCTATGGTTTATCTTACTTTTCTTTTCTTGATTAGTGTGCAAGTAAAGTTCAGTGAATTATTTTGATTGAAATATTGCTAGGCCAGCCACTTAAAACCTTCAGCTCTCAACTTTTTAACGCCGATTTCAGCATTTTGAGCGCTGCAGATTAAAAACTATGTTCTTAAGATAAAAACAGGTGAAAACCAAGATTACCGATTTTTTTCTGAATTTATTGTCAGGATTAATACAAACTTCGGTTGTTTATGTTCGCTAGTAGTTTATTGGGTATATTTCCTAGGAATTATTTGAGGAGGATAGTTTATTGTGAATGTTAGTAACCCAAGTTACTAGTCATTTGCTCCAACTCTTTAGTATGAATGCTTAAGTTATGGGCACCTTGGTCTTTTACACAGTTTAAATTAACACATTACTACACAAAAACTACTAGAAAGTTGAGTTTAACGTTTTTCATCACAGGTAAGTACTAAATATTGCACGTGTATAGTAGCAACAAATCAACGTATATCACTCGTATGGTAAAATTTATTTTATTTGTTAAACCATGTAAGATGTTATTCAACAGCTAGGCAATAAAATATTGTGTGTTTAGAAAACGATAATCACTGAATAACGGCACCGCGTTTTATTTCTTTAAAGCTTGTTCTGACATACTGTGCCCTGTTGTTTGAACAGTAAAAAGGTTAAGTGGTGCATACACTTAATTATTTTATTTGGTTTAGGCTGAAAGCCGACAAAGTGCTTAATTAATTAACGTGAGTAGATCTACTATGCTTCCGAATTGATAATTTAGTAAACCAGTTGTTTTTAACGACTTTTATTTTAAATGAGTACAATAATAAACAAATACTAAATCATTGATTTTCACATCAGATGTTAGTATTGCTAGCCGTGGTGGAAAGGGACGATCACAAAGTTTGATAAATATCTCTTGCATGATGAACAAAATGAATTATATATATACATTTTTACATACATTCTCAACAATTCAAACTTACCTTTCAAAATGATTATTAAAAATTCTAACTTTTAAATCTCTAACATAAATAAGATAGTTAAATTTGCGAAATCATATTTGAAATCCATGGAATATGCTGTGTATGATACATGTCATATTTGTTTTTGTTGCTTTATGATTTTCCCCCTCTTTCCTATGTGCACACAACTGTTATAGGTATGGCATAGAAGATGCTTCCGTTGTCAGCACTGTGGGATGGCCTTAAGCATATGTAACTATCATGGTGGGTATGATAAGAAGCCATATTGTGCAGCGTAAGTTCATTTGAATCTTACAATTGTCAATAATTTTTGACAGATTAATGCAAATCACAACAATGACTCTCTTTATAACTTTAGTATTTGCAGGCTTCAAACGTTCAACAATTTTTTTGCTAGTTTGGTCCTAATACGTCACAGAAATTATTGATGATTATAAGGGACCCTGAGCAGTTTTGTTCCCAGATAATATCCACCTTATATACGCAACTAAGTCAAACATATACACTACGGTTTCTTACAAGTGAGCAAAGTTTGAATGAGTCTACAAAGATAATTTTCTTCACAAACTGCCACTACCCGGGATAATTTCTAAAACCGTGGAAAACTAAATGACGAACTTCTTACAGTCCAATAAACTCACCAAGAACCCTATACAAATGCAAAACTCAGGATGTTCAGATCTTTTTGTAGTCACATTACCGTTAGTTCGAATTCGATCGTTCACATTACGAAATGCTGATACATGCTGGTGTCAGAATTGTGATTGCTGGTCTAAACGTCGATGGTTTAAATTCTACATGGTTGTGTTTCGGATTCAATCTAAGGTGAACCAGTAAGCGGACACTACTCTTGACATCCGAAGTAGGTCAAAAATCCATTCATCGGTCGATGGTTTTTAGTGATATAATGGTAGATCCTACTTCGTGACAAGAACTATTTCCAAATGAAAATAGTATTCATAAATTAATCGTTCATTTAGGTCAAAAAGCTTTACTTATATTTCTGGAAATTTATTTTTGTAATATGTTGCCTACAATTTACTTTTCATTTATGTGTAGACACACTCCAAAGCCAACCTCATTTACATTCATTCCGGATACACCAGAACTATTGAGAGTAGCTAACAATACAAGAATGTTTAGCAGTGTAAGTGTTTTTCTGTAATTGTAGTTGCTTTCTTTAGATCACTTTGATGACCATTCTTTAATGCGTGACATTTTTATTGATCAAGCTAGACATAATTTTAGCCACGGACTAAGGACTAGAAATAGTCTCTTTTTATCAAAAGTGATCTGGTATTTTGAACAAACATTTAAAATATACTAATAAATAATAAGTGAATAAATAGGTATCTACCCTTGATTCACTTGAAATTTCATTCATAGCTTTTTGCTATTCAAATACACAGATACTAGAAATCTGTTGGCGTCTGAAAGGATGGTTTGATCAAATGAATAATATTAATGTTTTTGATAGTAAGTATCTAAATGTGATGAAAAGGATAAGTCGAAATGACATGATATTATCATACTCCATGCACAAAAGTATTAAAAAATACATTTATGCATCTCAAACTTATACACAGAAAAAGAAACAGATACACTCAATTCCAATCAATAAGTTTTAGGATGACCAATACTTATCTGGTGACTTGAGTAAATTAACACCTATTACAACTACCTTATTTAAGCCAGACTGAGTATCATAAATTACTTTTACTAAGTGAAAATAATTGTTGAGATAAACAGAAGTTTGTGATGGATGAAAATACATATGTAAATCAAATTGATGTACATTTATTCGGTAAATGAAATTTCATTTTGAAGTTTTGTAATTTAAGAACCTAATGATGAAGTCTCCAGATTTACGGAAATTTATTCTCACTAACGTAAAGATTTATGGATTATTTCTTATCCAAATTACAAATATGATAGATGTATAGATAATTTAAAATCTTTCCTACTAAACGTTTCGTAGAATGAAATACAACAGGAAATAACAGAGGAAATAACACTAATCATTAGAGTGAACATTTATTACAGAAAAAATGGACTTATTCGTGTTAGTTATTCAAGTCTTCCTATTGATGTTTAGGACTGCAGTTGGCCCGTCTCTTTTGCAAATGTATGCATCCTGAGCGGATCGCCTCGATATTGCTATGAATTCATAAGCATTCAAAGGAAAGTGGTTGGTGGACAGCATTGAAATCCAGGACGTGCGTTTAGTCCTATTCGGGACATGTCAATCGGTTGAAGCTTCATTTCAGATTTATTGACTCCGGAACCCAAATTCAGTATCATCTGTGGCGTTCAAAGTGAACAAGTCTCGGAGTGAACATCAACTCCCGAATAGAGGAACATCCCTCTGACAAGTCGCAACCAGGACGAAACGCATTGTGGATCTCACTGCTAGCCACTTTTCATTCGTGCTCATAATAATTTGACTCTTGATAGATATAAAGTAGATAATGTCAACTTTGAATTTCACTTTTATTAGAGACGCCTAACAAATAAAGTTTCTGTGGAATGCTCTAACAAAATATGTTTAACATACACAATATATAACTACGTTTATGACTATATTTAATCAATAAAAATCAACTTCTATTACTTCACGGAAATTATAGAATTATTACTTAATTGTTTGTTGATTCTATTACTGTCCTAACATTATGATCGGTTATTACATAGTTTATAATAATGACTTACGAAACAGTTGTATTAGTTAGAGCAAAGCTAAAGAAATTCAGTCACAACTAAATTGTATTTACTTACAGTTTTCAGCGAGCAATAATGTCAGTAATGACATATATGAAAATGACAAAATGATGATGAGGATTTAAAGCATCATTTCTAGTTATGTCGGTCAAGGTCTGAAAATAACTGGTCTTCATGACCTCTTGAATATCTGTCAATATCTGACAGTCCTCAACAAAGATACAATCTTTGTTTGAGATTCAACGAAACCACGCCAAAGTATGTCAAACTGGGTTCAAATCTAAAACCTGATTGACAGTCAAGCATAGGTGAATAAAGCTGCCCTTTACATTTGACCGATTCTCAGTAATAACTTCTAAGACTATGAAGCTGAGTGAAGCAGCTCTGAGTCTCATGAGAAGAACTGATTTTCTGAAGATTATAGGCAAACCTTGCAGACAGATGCTCACTAACAAGAAAACAGAGTTCGTGGTTTCCTGCAGACTGTCTCTTGTCACCCAAGGTCGACCTTCTTTGACGTCTCCTAGTGGGTTTATATCTATGTTTACCAACAGTTAAACAACAAAATAAATGTGATAAAAGTTTATACTAATGAGGGTTTATCATGATATCCCACCTTATTACACAATAGGATCTTCTTTCATTTAACTAAGTCATATGCTATCTACCATAGAATGTACATTTTTTATTGAACTGAAATTTGTTTAACCCAAAATTCAAGAATTCCCATTGAGACTGAAATAATTGAAATCTGAAAATGAAACAAATAATCTTCAGTAAATTGTTCTGCAAGTTGATTGCTTATTTTGTGTTCAAACAGGAAATTATACAAACCATAGAAAGACACACTTTCAATTTATAAAGAATTAATGCACACACATGCCTTATATTTGTTGTTGGTCATTGAAATTCTCTGACCGATGTCTAAAATATCTAACATAGGTATTATTTCGCCATGATTTCAATAATTCTAAAGCATATTTACAACAAATTCCATATACTTCAAAGCCTAATATTTTATTAAAAAACCGGCTGAATACATTACATGTTAGTTTGGTTCAGGTTATTTGTTCGAAGGTTGTAATAAACACGTTTATGAGATCACCATTCACTTGATTGATTGTTTGAAAGCACAAGATTTTTGATAAGAAAGTGTACTGGTTGACGGATTTATTTTGTCACTATAAAAGTTTTTATTTTTCAGTTATGCTTGACTGGTCATTTAAATGTATTTCCTTCACTGAGTGAAATATTTAATTGAAAGTACAGAAAATATTTTAATGAATTCCGAGTTATGAAAGCTATTCAACTGAATGGCATAGGGAAATACAGAAAAGTATTTTCCTAATAAGACAAAGTATTTTGTCCCGTTTCTTACTAATGTATAACAGAATCTGAAATTAAATTTAGGACTATCTTCAAATGATTGTTTTGATCAGTCTCATTTATAATTATAATTATTTTATTTAGAAAAACACTCTTCGTCAAGAAGTCATCAACACAATATAACCCATGTTCAGGCAAAATGAACAGAACTCGGATAAGAATCTATCTATCAAAAGACAATGAAAGTATATATTGAGATTAAAGTAGTTAGTTAGTCAGTCAGTCAGTTACCCGACTATGTACACGATTCGGTCATGTATGCTTTGGAGCGATAAGAAAAAAATCAAAAATTATATGTTGCATTTATAGTTATATACTAGAAAGATTTGCATCAAGTCCCTTTCACTTTTATAAGCTTAATGAATATAAGAAGGCTATATTCTTACTACAGCCCTACATAATATATAGAACGGTTTATTGTTAAACAAAATGTCTTGGATAGAGTAATAGAACAAGATTTTACTTTTCGCATAAAAAGTTATCATTCTGTCGGTCTATCTTTATCTATTATTTAAAGTTTTTGGCTATTGTAAGCTAGAGGGATAAGTAAACTAGGTTCAATTACTGACTGGATCACCCAATAAACAGTTACATCTAGATAATATGACGTATTTGTGGCAATAAACTAAATATGCTCGAAACTCAGAGAAAGTATAGGTTTATTTTCAGACTTCTGAAGATATTTTGTGTTAATTAGTCCCAGGGAGTACAACACCTAGACTGTACAATTCATTTTTAATGGATACAAATGTATACTAGTAAGCGATTGGATTACCTATTAGTTCTGTCATCATCCATTTTTCAGTACACTGTAATGGTTACTGAAGACTACGGAGTCATATTAACCATTCTTAAAATCAATTCATTTTTTAAAGTAAATGAACACATATTCGTCGACTCTTCATGTCTACGCGTTTAATAAAATTTACAACATTTTCTGACCTAAAAACAAATATATATGTATTCATTCTAGATAAGATACAGTGCAGATGCTCAACGTATTAGAAGCAAAATCACATCATTTCCAGATGACTTGTGGACTCAACATACATTGAGACTATCAAAACAATACAGTGAGGTTAGCTGATGCATGACAAAACAAAAGCATTTTCATTTTGACTGTTCTTTTACAAAATCCATTGCATTTGCTGACAATATTTGTATAGCTTTTATTGTAATAGTATGTAGTCAAACAAAGACATTAGTCTAATGAAATAGCTGAAATTACATCTAAAACGTAGATATTACACAATACGTGCTTGTATTTGTATTTCAGTACAGAAAACTTCTCATGATTGTTTCCGTGTGTGTTAATGTTCATTTTAAAAAATGTCCACTACTTCTAAGCATAACAGATCATACTGACCTATTAACTTCTTTGTTGATAATCCAATATATTATTCGTTTTATTTTTTGTGTTAAGAACTACAGTTTTCATTCTAAATATTTTTTTTCGGTGAAATACTGGTTATAAGTGATTCTCATTTTTGTTATAAATAGAGTCTAATGTGTAAATTTGAATCTTCCCTATACATATAAACTCAACAGTTATTAATCAAAACTATTTTAAATTTAATAATTATTAATGAACAATTTACTTCTTTTAGTTAATGATTGAATTAATCATCTGAGTCATGGAATCCTTCATATAAACGTAAATTTTTCCATGTATTTAAGAAAGTTTAGTTTATTATTATTATTCATAATAATATTATTATTACTGTGTATACACGTATAGGTAATATGTTGTTCTGAACTGATTTGTAATAGTTTTAACGAAATGACAAAATATCATATTCATAACTCTTTAGTCTAGTTAGATTAGTTAGTATTATGATTATTGCTACTGATAGTTTGCACTTATAAACATGTTACTTTTAAACTGATAGGATATATATATTTAACAAGAGAGTTCGAATGGTGAATGACCATGACAGTATAATGACAAAAATTGTAATATCGATCCATACTTTGTAAATGATGACAAAAAGAGGTTGTGTAACTAATACAGATTGTGCATCAATGAAAGATGTGTTTATAATT